CCTTGTGCTTCTGGGGCCGTGGCTGTGCTGGAGAGCCGCTCGTGGGGGGTGACTGGTGACCTCGGTAGGGTGTGAAGGACGGACCGGAACGCCCCCCTTCCCATGAGGTTTTAGTCGCCCCCACACCCCCGGCTCATACCTGCTGTCCACAAGGCTCCCATGTGGCCGCCATCTTTCTTTCCAGAGGGAGGAGGGCGGAAGGGAGCAACACCCTTTCCCCTCTGGGCAGAAATGATTGCCTGGATTAACGCATAGTCCTTTCACTTTTCTGCTCCAAGCTGCTGGGTTCTGCATTAAGCCCTTGTGCTTCTGGGGCTGTGGCCGTGCTGGAGAGCCGCTCGTGGGGGGCAACTGGTGACCTCGGTAGGGCGTGAAGGACGGACCGGAACGCCCCCCTTCCCATGAGGTTTTAGTCGCCCCCACACCCCCGGCTCATACCTGCTGTCCACAAGGCTCCCATGCGGCCGCCATCCTTCTTTCCAGAGAAGAGAGGGCGAATGGGGCAACACCCTTTCCCCTCCGGCAGACTTGATGGCCTGGATTAACGCATAGTCCTTTCACTTTTCTGCTCTAAGCTGCTGGGTTCTGCATTAAGTCCTTGTGTTTCTGGGGCTGTGGCCGTGCTCCAAACTTAACTCTGACTTTCAGGGAGAAAGATTGGGTGGTTTACTTCTCATTGATCACTTTGTATATAGAGAGATGTCGCGCGGCCGCGTAAGCAGCCGCGCGGTTTTGAGAAAAAGTCCTCGTTCCCGCATACTCGAGCTGTGTTTGTAGAGGCTTCTGGTCACCGGGGTTCCATCTGGGGGAGGCGAGATGCGGCGCCTACTCCATCTGGAACTTGCGGGTGAATTTGGCTCTTTTTGGAACCTGTTTTTTCTTTTTTTTTTTCCTCCGGGATCCCGCACCCTCCATGTGTTCTTTCTCTTATGCTTAAGGCTTCAAAGATGGCGCTGGGGGGCGGGCTGTGGGCATGACTTCCGGAATCAGAGGTTACCTGGGAGGTGTAGTTCGGCAGATTTGAGAAAAAGTCCTCGTTCCCGCATACTCGAGCTGTGTTTGTAGAGGCTTCTGGTCACCGGGGTTCCATCTGGGGGAGGCGAGATGCGGCGCCTACTCCATCTGGAACTTGCGGGTGAACTTGGCTCTTTTTGGAACCTGTTTTTTCTTTTTTTTTTTCCTCCGGGATCCCGCACCCTCCATGTGTTCTTTCTCTTATCCAGATTTTCTTTATCACAGACACACTCCATGTTCACACACACACACACATACACACATCGTAATCACTGTCACTGTCCTCCCGTTGTTCATCAATTTGCTCGAGCGGGCCCAATAACACTGTGAGACTTGTTACTGTGTTTGGCATATTGAATACACCATAGGTAGCTCGCCAGGCTTTGCTGTGAGGGCAAGATACTCTCAGTAGCTTGCTGGGCTCTCCGAGAGGGGTAGAGGAATTGAACTCGGGTCGACCATGTTGGCAGCATGCAAGGCAAATGCCCTACCCGCTGTGCTATCACTTCAGCCCATCATAATCACATTTTCTAATTTATAAAAAATAAAAATCATTTTTGTTTTTCATGTTTGTCTAAATTCAACTGGAATATTTTAAAGAAGGAAGAGTTCATTACCCTGCAGATGTCAAAACAGAATAATACAGAACAGTTCAAAAAGAAAGGATTTATGATCAGAAAATAATATCTTAAATGGTTGCAATGCAACACTTTTGGAGCACTTTTAAATATAACATCTTGAATACATTGACCATCAAGCTATTGTTTCATTTATTTTTGTCTTGGATTCAAGGGAAAGTTCAAGAGAGTTTTATGTGGAGCTTAGTCTACTGCTTTTAGAAATCACATATGATGACCTCTAATAGAAGCAAAAAATGGCTGTGTGGCTGCTCTCCAGACCAGTGGAGAGAACCAACCATAATTAAATCATCACCCAAAGAGATACAAATTGAACAAATGCAAATGGATAATTAGGTAACATCTCTTGCTACTTCCAAAGTGAGGAAGAAAATCCTGTAACACAGATACAGAATCAGAGCCTAATTCCAAATGTCAGAACCAAATCTGCATTTTTAGAAATACTTTATTCAATGCCTTGTGTTAGAACTACCTTCAGATAACTTTTAAAGGAAAAAGTTTACTAAGGGGTACTTTGTTTCTTGTTACAGAATTTGAAAACATTACTTATTGGTGATTTTATAAAGATTCTTGTTTTATTTTGAGGGTGGCATACCTGGCAGTGTTCAGGGCTTATTCCTGGCTCTACATGTAGGGATCACTGCTGGCAGGCTCACAGGATCATATGGGGCTGCCAGGGATGGAACCCAGGTTGGCTGCAAGCAAGACAAATGCTTTACCAGCTGTACTCTAGGCCCTAAAGGTAAAATATTATTATAGGAATAATAATATTCAATGTCACTATGAGAGAATTTCAACAGTGAAAATTAATTCAGATATAATAATTCCGGGCTAGAGTGACAGCACAGCAGGTAGGGTGTTTGACTTGCACACAGCTGACCTGGGTTCGATTCCTCCATCCCTCTCAGAGAGTTCTGCAAGCTACCGAGAGTATCCCACCTGCATGGCAGAATCTGGCAAGCTCCCTGTGGCGTATCTGATATGCCAAAAACAGTAACAACAAGTTCTCACAATGGAGTCGTTACAGGTGCCCACTAGAGCAAACCAATGAACAATGGGAGGACAGTGCTATAGTGCATAGTAACTCCAAGTGCAATGACAAAATGAAACAGAATTTATTCAACAAAATAATGATGTAATTCACTTAACAAATGTCTACCAAACACTTACAATATGCAAGATCCTCAAGAAAGAGCAAAAGTCCCCGTGTGCAGGGAAAAGGGATAGGTAGACTGTAGCACTGTAGCACCGTCCTCCTGTTGTTCATCGGTTTGCTCAAGCGGGCACCAGTAACGTCTCCATTGTGAGACTTGTTACTGTTTTTGGCATATCGAATACACCATGGGGAGCTTGCCAGGATCTGCCATGCTGATAAATAATCAAGGAGACCACATAGAGGTGCTTGATTCTCTATAAAAGCAGCTTTCCATAATGGTAAAATACTTGTATGCACATCAAAGCAACTTGAAAACTCGGTGCAAAACAGAAGCAAAAATTTTCAACTGAATGAGGTACACTAATTTTATTATTTTACTGACATGTATGCTACTCTGTCCTATCCTTTGCAGTGGTTTTGATCTTGGTTTGCACTTTGAGTTTATTTGCTACCCTGATTGGCTACATATCAAAAAATGCAGGAGTTAACTTTAAGAGAAGGGAATATTTTTCTCTATCTATAATAGAGAAACTAAAATCTCTAAGAAGCTACCAGGATTTCTCAAAGCTGATATTCACTTATTCCGCAGAAATAAGATCTAAACATCTATATATACTACTGTAGTAAACAGAGATCTAGTCCAATAGCCATCACGTATTATTTCAAAATCTGAAGAAACACAAGTTTGTTACCTTCAAAGCAACATGAATATTTACAAAATATCACAGCTTTTCTGAATGCAGTGGTTTTATGCAAAATTCTTTATATTAAAGTATAAAAAATAACCTCATTTACTTTTTGAAACACTGCCCCTCCCCCCCCAAAAAAAACAACAAGGAAAGAAAACATTCTAGCTAAATAACTTCACAACAAACAGGTCATTCTGAGAAAAGACATCTAATTATGTAAACTCTGATTACTGGTAAGAACTTGGAAGGCTTAAGAAATTTAACAACTTTAGCTCAAAACAATTAAATTGAATTGTTGAGGATAGAATTCATCCCTTAGGCTCACCATAGCTACAGAAGTAAAAAGAGCAAAGAATTACTGAGTCACTGTCTCTTTCAATTCCAGTCCCCAATACCAAATTCACCAGATAGCAAATTCCAAGGGTTTGTTAGTATTAGAATTTATAGAAGTCTTATTATTTGGTAGCAAGTTTGTTACAGTTGATTTCTTCAAATTTGAATATTGAATTTTAAAAACATGAAATGAACTATGAACATAGGCAAACTTTCCTTTGTATGAATATATGTATGTATGTATGTATGTGTTTTATTTATGTAAGTCTAACCATGAGAATTTGACCTTCAACTTACAGACACTGACTTAAGGTTGTTCGGTTATGCAATCTTTTTATTACGAACTTCCTTGAGGCTACAAAGACTTCCTGAGCAAGCGTATATTCTATATTATAAGAAAACAACTCTTATTCTTTCGGAGACTAGTATGACAATAATAGCTGGAAATGATCATGAGTGTTAAAAGTTGGTAAAGGGGTATTCCTGATAACCTTTCAGTATCAATATTGCAAACCACAATGTCTAAAAGGAGAGGGAGAGAGACAGAGAGAGATAGAGATAGAGAGAGACAGAGCGAGATAGGAGAGACAGAGGAGAAAGCTTAACTTAAAACTATCTTTATCTCGAATGTTGTCTTAAACCTCTAAAGGAAAAAATGCCAGTTCTCAGATAGGCAATTTTACAAAAGCTTTGAGAAAGACCACTGGAGACTGTTGAACAAATGGATAGTGTTGAGATATACCATGTAATAAAAAGGCAAAGAATTTTCACTGCATTACCTGCTGAGTGTACATATAACTCCACATAACTCCATATGCTCTGAGAGTGGAAAGCCACCTTCTAGCAATATCTTTATGGAATTATTAATAAACAGCATTGGATAAAGTTGAGAGAATTAATGGTTTCATTGGTAAGGTTAAGCAAAATCTTCATGTGATTTTTTTAAAGAATGGCATAGAATAAAAATGCATCTTATAAGTAGGCAAATAAATCTTTGTGTAATGACAAATGGAATTTCATTTAGTGGTTGAAGATAGCTATGCCTTTAGTTAGAAAAGTACTTATAATGAGCATATTTCAAAGCACTGAAAGAAGTTATTATTTTTTTTTCTGAGAAAAACGAGAGATCATTATGCCAAGGGAAAAAAGTCAAAAGCAACCATCACTCACAGCCTCCTTTCCTATCTTCTTCTGTAACCGCGTTTGCCACTGAACTGCTTGCATGACAATGGCTTCCCATCTTCTTTCCAGGTTGACAATGATCAGCTGCATGGGCTGGTGGTCTGCGTTCAGATGGCAGGTCTCCCGGTCATCCAGAAGATGCTGACATAATCGTAGGATAGAGGCCACGCCACGCCGCCGCTGCTTGATCTCACAACAGAGGGACTGAAAGGCAGAGAGTGAGGAAACAACATGAGTTCTCAGAGTTCCTTAAAACTTATGAGATACCCTCTTAACAGCAACTTCAAACAAAGTACACCAGGAAGGGTTCTGGGATTTCCTAAGAATGGTCCCCTTCTAGAAATATCCAACTAAGGCCAAAGAATTCAGCTCTACACCATTCCACTTCCGTTATCCATTGACTTTTCTGTTAAAAATGTTGGATTTCACCCTGAAATATAGGTGGTGAGTAACTTATACTTTGATGAAACAAATCCCTTAGGACATATAAGGGTCTAACAAACAGATTGACATGCTTTGATTCAAGGTCACAGGAAACATGACAGAAATATGCAAAAGAAAATGGAGTTTTTTCAAATGTACTATGGGATTTTGTAGGGCCAAAGAGTTTGGTTTTTGACTGATTGAGACTAAATTAGAGTTCTGATATGTAACAACTATTATTTGAAAAAAGAGGACATGCAACATTTCTCCTCCGAAGCTTTATTAACAAAGCAATAATGTTTTGAAAACCCAAATGAAGACTAGATCATGACTGCACTATTTGCTGGTGCTTACTTTTCCTGTAATAGACATTTGCGATATTTAAGAAGGATATACATGCATCAAAATAGCATTTTCCTCCAGAAGGATTTGTATTACTGCAGTGACCCTAAGCTGAATGATTCAAGCAAAATAGTCAGTACACATGTCTAAAAATATTATATCTTTTCTTTGCCTACGGTTAGTGTATAAGTGATATTCTAATTCAAAGCCTTCAGGAGAAATGATGATTATATCCAAAAACATCACTGAATTACTAATCTCTTTCTACTGCCACAATTGGAGTGTTCTAACAGTTAACAGATTGCTTATTAATCAACAAGGGTAAACAAGACAATGCAATTTCATTTAGTGAGAGAGTTTTAATGCCTAAAAGTATTTGTGCTTAAAATGTTAATCTAGATAAGGCTTCATTAGAAAAAGTCTTAAAATGATTAAGTGCAATTCATTGAAATGTTCGCAGAGTGGTAGTAGATCAGCAGGTGGACATTTCCTACAGATGTTCCACTTACTAATAGAATGCATGCTCTAGCCATTTAAATGACCCTAACTCAGTAATAGCTGGAATTCTATTATTTCTATAATGAGAGAACCTTGTGCCTTTAATATTTCTGAATTTTAAGTAAGGTGAATGACAAATCCCCAAATCTCTATTTATAGCAAAATATGACTAGGAATTTTATTATTCAATTTATAGCAGTGCAGCAATTTTAGTTATGTTTCCTGAACTTACCCTTATTTATTTTCCTAGGGTTCATTACTATTTTCCTGTACAACTCCTGATAATACCATGAGGTCTGACAAATTTCTTTACTGGTGCTATTTATTAGTTTAATACTGAATGGGGAGAAATTCCTAAACACTCATAGCTAAAACCTGAGGTTCTACTAAAGTAACAGACATTGCACCTTCCAATCCTACTAGTAGTGCTTCACCCACATACATTCTCAGTCTCATGCCTTCACTATACATACTTTAATTTATTCTCTAACTTAGAACAATTTTGGGGTAAATCCCTCCATCAAGCTACTTAATACTTGTCATTTCTATTTTAACCAATATTAAAAGATTGAAGATGATAACACAAGCCATTAAACTAATTCAAATGAGTACTGAGGATTTTTGTTGTTGCTGTTGTTAATTTATTAACAATAAAGGCTAAAGAGAGACCAGAATCAGACTCAGTGGCAAGTCACATGCCTTACAGGCTTGAGGCTCAGAGTCTTATCCCTCGTACCATGCAATGCTCCAAGTACAATCCCAGCAACCACTGGGATCCCAGTGCCACAATAAAGTGGGCTATATCTGTACACACATTCAAGCGTGAGTGACACTTGGTCATTGCAGTAATGACAAAGGGAAGGGAAGGAGTAAATGTAGAATAAACATCAAAAGGGGGGAGGGGCTGGAAAAATCTAAAGAGATGTTTCCATGCTACAAACTGGATTTCACAAGTCTCTTTGAAGTTGACTGGAATAGTAACTGCATTCCTCAAGCTAACAAAAAGTTCCAGTGTTTCTTAGCCAAGTGGAAACCTGCCATGGATGGCACTAAAGCTGTATCTGAAGTTAGCATAGCCACATTAGGCAACATTTGCAAAGTAGTTTAAATGATTTCATTCATCTCACAGGAGTTTTTAAAGTTCTGAAACAGGACACATGAGGTTGGTAGGAGAAATACGTTTAAAGACTGTACTTCTTAAAAAGTATAAAGAATATCCATTATTTATCTGGATGGTTCCAAGTTGACATCTTAATGAAAAAAAGTTCAAGTGCCTGAAAACTAACTAACTTCCAATGTAGAGCACATGCTTTGCATGTGTGAGGACCTGGTTCAATTTCTGGCACCAGAACAACAATAACAATATAAGAAAAAAATACAAAAACTTGTGAAAGCACTTACTACTGACATTGACACTCAATATATTATTTTTTATCTTCACAAATCTTCTTTATTTCTCACTTTAAATATCCAAGAACAGAGTCCACATTCTAGATTAATAATTTATCTTATATGCATACTTGGGAGATAACATTACTTTGAAAAAAGAAGGAAGAAACTGGGAATTTTATGTGATCAACATATTTTTAGTACATTTTTATATCTAGGAGAAATAATTGATAAAATAACACTCTTCTATCTAAATGGGTTTCCATAACAACCATTAAAATATACATATTTATTTATAATCACAAACACATACTAAATAAAATCACAGCTTTTGCAGGCAATGTTTCTTAGAATTGGTAGTTTACATTATTTCTATGATAAACTATGCATAGAGAAATGTTAAATATAACTCACAGGAACAAATGATTATTATGACTATTTATGGAGTACATTTTCAAAGGAAAGTACTTTTAAACAGAAACCCAAGCTAAGCAATCTAAGCAAAGCACAGAGATAAGACAAACTTATCCCTGTCTCCCAAGACTTCCTAAAACTGTATTTCTCCTTTCATCTGCTGGACTCTGCTTTAGCCATGGAGGCTTCAATAAGAACAAATTACTGCTTCTGCTCTCAAAGAGCTGAGAGTTGTTGGAGGTGGCCTAGATAGAGCACAATGCACAGTACCAAGAATAATGCAAAGGTGAAGGTAATATCAGAGGTTTACACAAGCTATTAGTGGAGTGCTGTGAAATTTTCTCCAGGGAACAATGTGAATTAAATACTACCAGTTGGTGTAGATATGATGATAAGAATAGGAAGCCCAGAACAAGTAGTTTGAAACAATGAGAGTGTTCGTATGCAAAGTAGAAAGAGTGAAAAGTATCTGGAAACAAAGATAAAGTTTGAGATGCTTTTCATTATCAAGTCAAATATGTTGTAACGCTACTTTTGAAATGGTCTTCAATTTAACACCACTGAATTATTATTAAATACTAGAACTTTGTTCTCCATCATATATTAAACATATGTATGTGTGTACAAATTGTGTGTGATATGCAACATATAGCCATAACATATTTAAAAATTTTTACTCTAGGATACCTGAGTGATACCTGGAGCACCAAATCAGAAAAGAGATCAGGATAAAATAAATATTTAATAAATAACAAAAACAGGTACTAGAGAGACAATACATGGGGTAAGTTACTTGGTTTGCAAAAGTGGCTAACCAGATTCCAATCCTTGCATAGTCTTTGAAGAACTTTCAGGAACCACACCCTAAGAACATAGCCAGGATGCACCCTTAAGCACACCTAGGTGCAGCTTATAATCCCCCAAATAAATAACAAAACCACTGTGTTACAAAAGAGAAAGTAAAAGAAAACCCAAAACAACTTGCCTCTATATCTTTCATAATTTATTCATCAGATACATGAAACATCATTTAGTAGTTTAATGAACAAAGTATAAGACTTTAGATGGTCTGTCAAATCCCTTGTGATCTTTCAAATCAGTTATAATCTGTTAAATCTAGAATAAAACTATGGAGCAATTCTATTTATAAAGCCAAACATGATTCTACCTTCTAGATACATCAAATGCTTAACAATATCTATTGAGTGTGACTTCTGTGTGACAACATTGAGAATCACAGGAAACAGAGAAACTTAGAAAAGAGAATTTATCAAACTGAATCAATGATTTTTTTAAAAAGTATAAATTATAACTTCTGATTCTAAAGTCATATTTATAGCCAAGAGTCCAGGGATCACATATTCATGGGTGATTAATTATTTTAGTCATCAAAAAGCTTGGTTACTGTGTGAATATGGTTGATGGTGCTGAATCCTTTTTGGAACCTGGCTTGCTCGCATGGTTGTCATTCATCTAGTGTTCTGCCAATCCTATTCAGGAAGACTCGAGTGAACAGCTTGTAGATGACAGACAATAGGCAGATTGGGCGATAGTTGCCAATGTCGTGTATGTCTCCCTTCTTGTAAAGTAGTACAGTCCTGCTGGTTTTCCATTGGGACGGAACCTTGCATTCAGACAGGTAGCATGTGAAGAGCTGAGCCAGCGTATTGATGAGTACTGACGGCAGGTTCTTCAGGTGTTCAGGTCTGACCTTGTCTGGGCCGGGTGCTGTTCCTTTCTTTACCAACGAAATGGCGTGTCGGATTTCAGAAGGGAGAACATTGGGAATGACATATCCATCCTGCGGAATTTGGTATGTGGGCAGGTGGATACGGCTATCGAAGAGATATGAGTAGAAGTCATGGATAATCCTCTCCATTGCCCTTCTGGAAGATGTGATAGATCCATCAGGAGGTCAGAGGGCAGTCATCTTGGTCTTGTAGTTGGCGAAGGACAGGCAGGCATTGCGAATGCTTTTCCTGGCTTTTGCTCTTCACTCTTTGAGGTCTTCCTTCATCACATCTCTGCACTGCTTTGCAAGGTTGGAAATTTGCTTGTGGTTGCTTGAGGCATGCGCCAAGCCACGTTGGTAAATTAGCTTGAGAGTTTTCGAAGACAGGCTTTTTTGTGGCTATCTC